TTTTTTATTAAGAAATCTAAGATTTTTTTTACACATTAGTGTAGTCCACTAGTCCCCCAAAGCCCCACTGCCCACTCACCGAAACAAACAAACAAGCCATCCATCATCCATGATTCTCTTTCTCTAATTCTCTTACAGGCATCATATAAAATTTAAAAGTCCCACATGAAAAAACCACATAGTCACATTCACATATGTATGTATGTTTCCCGGAAATTCAGAAATCAAACAAAAAAAAAAAATAATAATAATAAGAAACCAACTTCTTGTTTGTTCGACAATCGACATTCAGAAATAAGAAAAAAAGAAGAAGCTTACTTTGATGTCTTCCCGAAGTCGGACGGCCGGTCGGCGATGAAATTGAAGCCGTCAATCTGCCAAATCCGATGGACGGGCACGGGCCTCTTTCTTTTTATCGTTTTCTATCAAAAATCTCAAGGGATTAGGTTTTTTTCTTACAATTTTTTCCTCTGTACTCCTCGAGCTTCAGATTTCAATATATATTATTTTTTATTTTTTTTAATTAATTGTAAAATTACTAAAATACCCCTAGGTTTTTACAAAATTTCAGGGGGCCCAGGGGGGCAGCTCCGTCACTGAACAGATATATCCTTTTCAGCCTTTATCCATTTATTATCCCTGCAGATAAACTCCATGTCAAGGACACGTCATAATATGCGATATGTCAAAGATAAATATAATTAAAGACATTAATAGGGAAAATGTGAATCAGGTTTGTGTTATAATATTGCATACAATATTCTCTTCTCATGATAAGACAATTTTATAGCTTGTGATTCCATGAACACATTTTGTCTTGCCAAAAGGATAACCACATTGGCCACTCAGTTTTGGAACAAATATGTATGCAGCCCCAACTCACTAATCACCAATTCCATTCAAGCTGCTGAAAAAGCCCTATCTCCATTTATTAAGCATTTAGAGGTGTTACAGTTGTATTTCACACAACGGATGACTCAATTGATAAATGAGCTCACCACAAAGAAGGGTCATCCTGATAATGAGATGCGTCCGAGATGCTCTTGGAATTGTATCCTGCAAATGAAATGACAGTGAAGAAAAAAGAAATATTAACTGTAAACGATGATCATTCACAAAACCAGGAGTAATATGCTTCACACACACACAGATAAATAGGCACAAAAACCCGAGTGAAATATAATTGAAACAGAAAGGTCTTTGCAAACCTAAACACACACAAACACAAACACATGGAATCAGCACAGAAACATGACGACATATAACTGAAATTGAAGGTCCTTGTAACCTAATTAAAAGCTAAAGAAATACAATAAAAAACACTGAAAAATACTCATTTAGTTGTTCAAAGTAACTGCTTCGAGCGAATTCGGCCCCCCAATCGTAGCTAATTCGACTCACATCATCCGAAAATCGAGGTTTTGCTCTCCATAAACTTGGTATTCCACTGAAAATGCCGTCAAATTTATAACCTCGACTCATCCTCTCTGCAATTCGAGAAGCAGGCTGCAACTTGTCGGTGACAACGCCGGCGCCTACATAGCTCTTGCTCTCCAAGATCGCATCCACACCACATCGACGGGTCCATCAGCCGATCGATTACACTTTAGTTTTCATATGGAGAAGTGCGAAGATCATGGACAGATTGTGTATTTGATTTATTGTAATTATTCGGATGTCCGTCTTGCACAAGATTATGATGTTCGTCATTAAGCTTTGAGCCTTGACCTATTTTTCTTATAATTAACGAATTGAAGTTTCTTCTGCACAAGCTTCCGGCCAACTTTAGGTTTAATATTACGGAGATAAAAGTTGTATATATCTACTTACATGTTATATACATAGTTTCGGGTTATAAACCAAATAAACTGAATTTTGGTTGAGCAAAAAAATAAATTTGTAATCTAATATGTATATTTTTTTTACATTCTGAGAGCACTTATAATATGTTTTACATATCAACGTTGTATAAATTTTAAGTATAAAATTAAGTAGAAGTTAAAAAGAAAAAGTATAAACAAAAGATGGTTAGATAAATGTTGTGTAAATAAAAAAGCAACATATAATAAAAATATACTGAAGATAAACGCAATGAAAATATTTTTTAGCCAATGAAATTTTGGCCATTTATCTTCTCTCCTCATCGCCGTCTTCTTCTCTGGCGACATCCACCCCCACACTGCAAATTCCTACTCAAACATCACCGACATTCCTTCCTCCCTCCTCCCGCATCCTGCCAAACTCGTTGTCTTCAATAAGAGCGAGAAATAAGCTAACATGGACCACCTCAAGCTCTAGAAATCTCCCAAGCCAGATCCTCCACCTCTGACGTCGTCTCCCTCGTTAGTCGAGCCAAGGCCTAAGCCGATCAGGTTATCTCGCTCGACCCGAACAATGCCGCTTGCATATCCTCACAGCCCTCGCACTCGAAATTTAAAATATGATGGGATTCCGTTTTTTATTGTTCCTTTGTCGAGCTTCTTGAGGAACTCTGTGTTATGGCCTCCTCCTCCAGGTAGCCCACAATGCGGAGGGCAAGTTTGTAATATATCAGGTAAGTTGCAAAGTAGTTGCAAAGTAGGCTTGGGAGATACAATGTAATACAATTTTTTTTATTTTTTTTTTTTAATTAAGGAAAGAAACCCATCAGTTACGAGATTCTTGGCCTGGTAAGTGATAACCCTTTATTTTGTTTGACTATTTCTGATATATAATGGTTATCTAAATAACTAGTCAGTACCCCGTGCAATGCACGGGAACAATATTAAATTAATAATATTATAAATAGATCTCGAGTTTGAGTCAGTGACGGAAGTGAAAACTACTATTGATCCTATTTAAAAAGAGGAAGAAAAAAAATAATTATAAATTAAAGAAGAAGATAAACAATACTTAATAATTATAAATTAAAGATTCGGGGTCAAACAATGTAAAACTATTTTGTATAAGACAATATGAAATTTACATTATTTTGTATAAGAGAATATAAAATTTGTATGTTAATATTAAAAACACCTAAAATATTATATTAGTATATATGTAAAAGTATTCAAAATTTTCTATATTATTTTTGAAAGATGTGAAGTCACCTACATTTTTTCTAAACAATTTTAGAAGGAAAACATATCTAAAAACATTTGAATTTAACATTGTGTAAAAAAGATTTTTCTAGACTATTTTGTAAAGAAAACATGTCTACAAATATTTAAATTTAATATGTGTATATGTACATATATATATGCGTATGTTATGTATAGTTTTTTAGAGATAATAATTCAACACCTGTATTTGTTTTAGGAAATGAATAACAATCTTAATATCAGTTTTGAATATTGATAAGGTGTATGAAATATCTTCGCGTATGTTATGTATAGTTTTTTAGAGATAATTATTCAACATCTATATTTGTTTTAGGAAATGAATAACAATCTTAATATCAGTTTTGAATATTGATAAGGTGTATGAAATATCTTCTCCTTATAATACGGATTTTATTTTTGAATCTTAAAATTATCCCAAATATCTTCTCCTTATAATATAACTCCTTATAATATAATTTTTTTTTCTTCAATTTATCGTTAAAAAATATGTTTAAAAGGCGTGTGAAATGGGATTATTTCGTTACCATAAAAAATTAATATGTGATAAGGATACTCGTGTGAAATGAGGCGTGTGAATTAGGTTATTTATTACTAAATTTAAAAGGCGTTAATATGTGATAAGGATACTCGTGTGAAATGAGGCGTGTGAATTAAGTTATTTATTACTGAATTTAAAAGGCGTGTGAAAATGACGTAAATGCTGACTTAATAAGCGTGTGAAATGGAATTACCGATTTTGGAAAGTAATAAATGCAAAACTGACTTTGACCATTAATTAAGTTACTAATTTTGATAAATGTTAATTCTTATTATATAAGTATAGATTATTGTAAATTATTTTTACTTCCAAATAAGTTTTCATTTTTACAAAAGAAGTTTTCATTTTTGTATTTTGGAAATATTTTTAAATCGCTAACGCATGGATTGGCCAATCTTTTTAGGTCGTCAGTGGGATAATATTTTCTATATTATTCATCTCAAAATTCTTTTCCCTGTGTTCGTAAATTTTGTTTCTATTGCGTGCGACTAATAGTTTTAGAAAGCTTGAATTTTAGGCTCAATAATATTATCCTGTCATGTTCATGTTTGGCATGACAAAGATCAATACATTCTTTGCTCACAATGCATCGACTAAGAAAGAAACTGAAGTCTCGCATGACTCTATCAACAAACGGTATGCTGAAATATTTACAGTTTGATCAAATGCCAAAATGAAAATCCAGCTGGTCATGTCATATTTCACTCACAAAGACAACAATGACCGGTAAAATTCTCTTACCATAATAGGGAATAATTGCAACAAAACCACTACACAGAAAGGTTATTCGGAAGCAAAACAAATCTAAGCAACCACTGCATTTTCTTGAATAGGTCAGGTGTAGGGGAATCTTGTTCTTGGACTTGACAGCACACTGAACTACATCTCAATGTGGTCTGAGGATAAAAAAAAAAATGTTAATTATAAAGTTGCGTGTGAATCGCTGTTGATGTGTTCGTATATATGTTTCTAAAATCCACTCACTTATTGAGAATTAGGTATGAAGAAAAACAGAGCAGGTATAAAAAATTGCATGCAAAGTGCTGTTGATGTGTTCATATATATGTTTCTAAATAATCCACTCACTATTTGAGAGATTCACCCATTGCAGAAATTAGGTACGAAGAAAAACCGAGCAGGTTTTTGTGCTAAGGACACAAGATGAAATCTAAACAGCAGTGGGTGAAAACACGGGAAGGCCAAATGATCACTTCACAAGCTTGGAGCATATAAAGAACGCTTTTGCTTCAAAAATCTAAGCTGCAGGCACTTTGACAATAATTTCATGTGAACGTGAGTTTTTCAGTAGAGGACTACAAAATCACTGTTGTTTTAGAAAAAATCATTTAGCTACATTGAACAAAGGTAGTCAACAATCATCACCAGTATCAAACCCAATAATCTTTTACCAGTCTAGAAAATCCATAAATTTGAAAGATGCACGTGAATTGACAATAATCCATAAAGAAAAATCCACAATTGAGAGAATAATGGAAAGAATGATGTGTGATTTGTGGAGAGAAGACAGAACAAAAACTTATTATATGGTAATTCTCAAGCTAGTAGGCAGGTGAGTGCAACCAAGCCTATATGCATGTTAACACAAAGCAAGGATCTAATGACAAATAAGCTTATCAAGCGTGTGAGCATATACCATTTAGCTCAACACGTTCAAAAATTATATATCATTTAGTGTGAATTGGTAATTCTTTATTGGCTGCTCAATAAACAAAAACTCAACGTCCATATGTGTGTGTGTGTGTGTTGAAGCCAATACACAGATATTACAATCTCCTAATCCTTATTTATTTTTTTAACCAATGTTCTAAATGGCGCTAAACGCTCGCCAAGCGGCAAGCTAGGGCCTAGAGCCTAGGGCACCTAAGCGGGGATAAGGCGGCGCCCAGGCGTGGTCATAAAAATATTAATAAAATTTGTTTATTTTATTATCATCATAATTTATGAGATATATTGTATAAAATTTTAATTACTATGATCAAATATAAAGATAAATCAAATTCTACAAATTGATTATTATTATTATTATTATTATTATTATTATTATTATTATTATTATTTGTTATATAATTATTGTATATTTCATGAATAAATATTTTAATTATTGAAAAAATAATTTATTTATTTTTTATATATGGGCTGGGCTAATAGACTAACTTGACAACTGCCTAGTCTGCTTAGATGCTGCTAGTCGTCCGAGCGCCTAGAATGACAGCCTAGTCTGCGTAGACACTGTCTAATCGTCTGAGTGTCTAGACTGACCGCCTAAGAAAAAATCGTGTGCGCTCTAGTGTCTAGGCACCTACCTAGGCTGATTTTTGGAACAGAGTTTTTAACACTAAGGTCCACAAAAACTTTGACCACCTAAGCTAACCAAAAGAGGGAAAAACTCAGCAAACGCTATCATAGAAGTACTCGGAAACTAGTCTGAAGAAGTTGTGTACCGTTTTTTATGACCAACTTAAATTCTTCTTCTATTGTCGACGCGCGTCCTTTTGGAAGAACCAGCTTCTGTGTGATCTGAACTTGATTGTATCTAAATCCAGTAAAAATGACACTTCAGCACAAAATAAGCTTTAAATGGACACCCAAGAAAAAGATTAAAAAAAAAAGAGAGAGAGAGAAAGAGGAGGAAATCAAAGATGCTGAACACCTTCACCTTAAGTTTCTCTCTCACCAAATGAACCGTTTGATTCATAGACTTGGAGGGGAAATATTCCTGACATCATTCAATTGAAAAAAAAAAAAAAGCTTTATCAGCTATAGGAAAGAAAAATGTGTTCAGCAAGAGAATACAGACAGGAAATCGGAAAAAAACTTCACATTCAATCAATCATCAGTACATGAGATGGAATCATATCTCCTTATTCGATAACATTTCACGTATTATTTCCCATATTATTCTTCTTTTTCCATTCACTTGTTAACTTTACATTCCCCTTATTTCTCGTCATTAAACGAACTTTTCACTTGTATATAACTCGGAAAAAAGTAGTCATAAGCAAACCTTATGAGAGGAAGCAGATAGGTCAGAGGATGTATGTCCACTTGCAGCAGCTTGTGACTCACTCGACTGCCTACGAAACGGGGAAAAAAAAAGCAAATTTTCTACGGTGGTGAAACAAGGAAATCATAATACACCTATCATTAATCAGTGTACCTACAAATACCTTGAAACTAAGGAACGCGATGGTGGAAATGCATCCTTGGGCAAAGGAGTGGAAACTGAAGGAGTGTAATCTGAAGGACCTCCTTTATATCTTTTAGCTGAAATAAAATGATTACAAATGAATTTTTGGTTGAATTAATGCATTGTATTGGCAGACAAAGTGAGATATTACCAAAAAAAAAAATAAAAAAATACCCTTCATATTTGACAGAATTGGGAAAAAGGCCCAAATATTATCAGGAAACATATAAACCGCAGTAGTGGCGCATTTTGAAAAATCAAAATGAATGGTAATTGGTGTAAAACAAAAGAGCCTTATTTTTCAATTGTTAATCCTCTCTTAAATGTTACTGTGGACTTACAGTTTAGTCGTGCTACAACTTCCTTCCTCCGCCCTTCTAGCTTCTCTTTTGTATCGGATAAGCTCTCATATTCAGGCGCATATGACACTTTTAATCTGTTTCCAAGAAAAACAGACTCGTCTAACTTCCTTTTGGCAAATCTATCATCAACAGCAAAAAAAATTAATATATATATTATATATACATTTAAAATTTTAAAAATCAAGCCTCTGAGAATCCCGGAAGCATTTCAAGAACAGCACACAACCTGTAACCCACATAACACACTAAGCACCAAGACATAACATGATATATATTCTTTCTAAAAAAATACTCACATGGAGTGGGGTCCACTTAATTTTTTTATTTTTGGTAGGACCCACTCAAAGAGAATAAAGAAGCAATTAAATATCCAAGAAAAGTCACACTAGGGAGCCACAATCACCTGGAATTGTTGACCTGATGGAACTTGATCCAGTAAACATCAGTGTACGCCTCACAGTCCTCAGCATCCATCGGCTTACATCTAAAAGAAAACTTAAGAACAACATTCGAGTGGTAATTTAATTCACAGATCACATAAAGAAACCCAATCCAGCTCAAGGTTGCTACACAAAAGACCAAACAGTGCAATTCATTTGCCACACATGAATCGCACTTCCTTTTGAATTATTAGGTAAATAAAAGAAAAATGCATATAAAATCAATTCCAACCACAAACAAAACTGTTCCCAAAGAAATCTGTATAAGTTGATGTTATATACATAGATGTTATATACATATGAAAATTATGGAATGACTTACTCGTCAACTTTGCCATAAGTGGAGAAAAGCTTCAAGAGCTCATCACCACAACCCAGTGAGGGAACATTCCTCACAATTAGGTATCTGCAGCATAAATAAAGAATCAAATAAGCTTCTACGACCCCAATCGTAAACGAAAATTACAAAATGAGGGTGAAGATAAGAGACGAATACAGACTTGGACTCATCGCAAACTGCGTAAACGCGAACCGCGGGAGGCTCATCTCTGTACTTGGGCATGTGTTCTCCTCAAAAGAAGCAGCTGCAATTTGATTTTTAGGGCAAACACTGATGAGAATCGAAATTGGGGGACTGAGGGCTCTGCCTTTGCTGTGAATCAGATTCGCTGTGCCCGTGCACCAAACCCCTGTGTTATGCAAATCTGCTCATTTGTCTATTTGTTAAAAAAAATCACTAAATTAGGGATGGCAATGGGCCAGGTCAGGCCGGGTACCTGTGGACCCGGACCTGGCCTGTTTCTGACCTGTGGACAGGACCTGCCCCGTGACCCGTGACAGGTCCAACAGGTCGGGCCCGTGCCCTGATCCAATTCGGGGCGGGTCAACCTGTACTCGTGCCTTGACCAAAAGTTACACAATTGAACTGAATTTTCCAACTGGAATTTTACGGACTGAATTTTTCACAAAATTTAAGCGTTTACAATATACAATTTTCACAAAATTGAACTTCTAAGTACGCGTTCAAGAAACTTCTAAGCACTGGTTTCATTGTTCTTGTGAAGACCACACCATATCATCACTAATTTTGCCACCAAAGAATTTCCGCAAGGCAGCCTCTTCTTCTCTCGAAAAAATGACACCTCACAGACAGGACATGGACAAAAAGAACAGCAAGTATACCATCCTTGGCCATATTAATGCACTGAACAATTTCCTTCCCGATAAACTCGGGCACATCAGAAATATCAAACAATCCTGAGTTTTTCTTTTTTTTTCAAGTTTTGTTCCAAATTCAAACACAACAAAGTTGCATAGAGATAATACTAAATTAATCGATATTTAGGGTAATTGTACCTGGGGTGTCGATCACTAGCACCTGTGAGCTTTGGCGTCAGAGACGAGGCGAGGCGAGGCGCGGCGTCGGACTCACTGTCTGCCGTCGAGGCGTCAGGACTCAGAGGTGAGAACTTGGGAGAGGCCGGAGGCGTGACTGAATGTGTGTGAGCAGAGCAGGTGAGAGTGATAGGGATGCTGACTGCGGGAGCGAGATATTCTAAAGAAACCTACTAATTTCACCTNTTATATATATATATATATATATATATATATATATAAATAATATAATTTATTTATATAAAAATGTAAAATAAGGTAGTGCCAGGTCAGGACTAGGAGTGTTCATCGGTCGGTTCCGACAGAACCGAATTATAAAAACCGAATTAACCGAACGACTATATGTCAAAAACCGAACCAACTGAAATGTTTGTTTAAAACCGAAATACAACCGAACCGAAATATTGGTCGGTTCGGTGGGTTAACCGAATTTTTATAAAAAAACAATTTTTTTTAAGATTGTAAACTAGGCCCAAATCCAACAAGTCCAACTCCAACATTTTAACAATAAAAACAGTAGACCAAAGTCCCCAAAAGAAGTCCACTTCAGTCGTTTGCCTTTTTTCGCGTGCGACATCCATTGCCACCACGTATTCGCCTCGCCATCAAGGTAATATGCGGCGTACTTAACTCGTTCAGCCTTTGGAGTCTCGTTGAGGTCGAAATATTGAGTAGCTCGACTCAACCATGCGTCCGGATCCTCTCCTTTGAACGTGGAAAGGGAAATCTTTGGTTTCTCGACCCTACGTTCCTTGTGGCGCAGTGAACCCCTAGACCCCTGAGATCGGCGGTCCGTCTCTTCCTCATACGCGCTGCCCTCATCCTCCGAAGATGAAGACTCCTCCGAAGATGACCCGGGTGTAGGATATCTCGACGACCTTCGACCACGCCGTCGAAGCTTCGCAAATTCGGCGGCTAGTGATTGCTCGAGCTTGGCCAATTTATTGTATGTGGCGTGTTGACCATCTTGCACGGCCTTCACGACGATTTTCAAGCCCTGCACGTCTTCGATCATGGAATTTAATCCGCTCTCTAACTGCTCGATCCGATCCTTATGCGAGTTCGTCATTTTTTTTTTTTTTTGAATCACGAACAAAAAGAAAAAATTCAAAAGAAGGAAAAATTTGAAAGAGGAAGGAAAAGTTTAACTTGATACACGATCAAACACTCTCAATGAAAGCACCAATGATGAGAGATCGTGTATCCGCTTAACTCGTTTTGCTCAAAACCCGCGCCGACGCCTTGGTTCCTTCGCGATAGTTTGCTAAATACGCGCGCCGACGCCTTCGTACTTCGCGATAGGTGTGAAGAAAATCGGATGTTGGTCTTATTTCTAACACGATTTTGTATGTAAATCACACACGATATTTGATGATCGAAACGATCGATTTTCTTATTACTTGGATGATAAAAATTGAATGACAATGGGTAGTATTTATAGAGACTAAGTAGATCTAATCCTACACTAACTAGAATTAAAATCATGAAAGAGAATAAACTCTTAAGGAAACTAAATATCCTAATATCTAAGACTTACCAAATAATTAATTAACTAAATAGGCACATGCCTTTATTCAAGATCTCCTAACCAAACTAGAGTCCTAATTAAGCTATGTAAATCGGATCCCCCATTCTTGCTTGCGCCGCACGCCGGCCCAACCCTAGCCGCGTCATGCGCTACTCCTAGTCCTCGGGGGACTTGCGCTCGCCCGTGCCCCACGCGTCTCGTGCGTTATCCGCGTCATGCCTCGCGCGTCCGTCCACCGCCTCTCACGCGTACTCCCCTGTCGCGCCCTGCGCGTGTCCGCCTATCGCGTCTCGCGCTTTCTCGCGTACTCGTGCATCGTCGAGTCACGCGTGTTCACCCTTCTCACGCATGTCCCGCACGTTGGCCCCCTTGCTCCGGATCGCTCGTCCCTGGTGTTAGTGTTATATACTGAAAGCTTGGCTTTGTATGATATTACACATTTACCCTTTATGAATGAGAATCATGTTAGATTAAACAAGTTCTACGTTCTGTTGTTCTGCACTTAGATAGTGTGGGTCGTCATCGGGCGAACCGAAGATCACTCTATCAGTTACTTGCGAACAAGAATAGTTGTTCACAACCTAAATGGACATGAACACCCCATCCGAACGGTTGTAGTGTCAACTGTACAGTTTGTCTTGACTGATTAGTTGCACTAGTACATTTATGTATTGAACAGGATCCCACAGAGGAGAAGTTCATTTTATACTGATCGTCGTAAATGAACTAGGCCTCGGTTAATTACTGCGTTCTCTTAACCCGTAAGATATTAAACAG